AGCCCCCCAACTGGCACAGCGGTATGTCTGCGGACTTACAACGCTAGAAACCGGGTTTCGATACCCGTGGTGGGCAGAGCACAGATAACCCTTGTGTAGCTTTGTGCATAATTAAAAACATACATACATACATCTCTTTAACGTTTTGAAAGGTTTTCACTAATTTTCTGACTTTAAGACACACGTGTTTGTTGTGTGTAGATTGGAAATGAAATTATTTAAAAAACCGAAATACGTGCAATATGCATGTATACATCATATACATTTACTATATAGATTCAATCTATGTGTTTCAAGTGACACAAATATAACAATTTATGTGTTACAAATAACACAAATATAACAATTTATGTGTTTCAAGTGACGCAAATATAACAATCTGTGTGTTTCAAGTGACACAAATATAACAATTTATGTGTTACAAATAACACAAATATAACAATTTATGTGTTTCAAGTGACACAAATATAACAATCTGTGTGTTTCAAGTGACACAAATATAACAATTTATGTGTTTCAGGTAATACAAATATAACAATTTACGTGTTTCAGGTAATAAAAACATAACTATTTATGTGTTTTAGTTAACAAAAACATAACAAACTATGTGTTTCAACACACGCGTAATAAAATCGTAACTGTAGGGAAATATGCTGATGGTCATATTTCTAAATTATTAAATTAAAATTAAAACTTTTGCGGTTATCATTTCGTGTCTTACAGAGCATTATAACGACTTCAAGACAACATATATAAATGTGTGTGGGCAGTGGTTATATTTGTGCTACTTGAAACATAGATTGTCATGTTTTTTGTTACCTATTTTATCATACTAGTTCGAAAAGCTAATAAGGACATAATAATTGGAAGGAAGAACAAAGGAGAGAAGTGGTATACATAATCCTTATTCCTTTGTTCCACATGCAGGGACGAAAATGACTCGTAGCAGCGTGAGGTATGCATTATTATTTTATTTGAGAGTAAAGCACGTATAAGCATTTGATATGTTTAAATTTAGCTGTTTAATGAGGTGTATTTATTATTTTATACTATATCCCACATATCTTATCGATTATTGTTTATGGAAAGAAAAGTATAGGTAGGTAAATTACTGAGCTAAATCTTGCTGGAGTGTTTTAATGACGTCTGAGACATCGACATCTCTGTACGTGCCAAGCACACAAAGAAAACCCAGCAAAAAAGTAATAAAGTTCAGTTCTAACTAAACCTTTCCTTGTATACCAAAACTGTTAGCAAAAGTTTGACTTGCTAATCACATGCTGTAATCATAATGAAAGAAGAGGAAATAATAATAATTACAGACTTATACGTTTCTAAAATGCCAATTGTGTAGTAATTTTCCCTCTTGTGAAAAGTATTTTTTCCTTATTAAATTAATTTGTCATTCAGTAAACATTATTGTTTTTCATTTTTATTCATTTTTTCCACCCTAGAAACTGTCAAAAAATATTGTTTGACTTACACCGAAATGCCCCCGTAATGTTAAAAACATGCCATCTCCTGAAAATTATACTCGCGTAAAAACATTTTGTCTTCTTCATTTTACTTGTTTTGATCAAATGAGTAACTGCATAAGTTACACTATACCAACCAGGGATCGAACCTCGAATTATATCGTTATAACCCCTCAAACTTACCGCTGAGCCACGGGAAGGCCTTTCTATCCTAATAGATACAAGTTTCATTAATATATCGTTACAAAGCATATTTTCTGTTTTCAATCTTACTGGACTTTTAAAATTATATAAGTATACCAATTCCTTTTATTATTATTATTACGTTGATTATACCAAGTTATATCATTATTTTACATAAGCACAACCAGTTTCAAGGTATGGGAAGACTTGGGTGAAGTTATCACTTATTTCAGTCCGTGTACCCAAGGTTAAGCTCGTTAACTAATGTATTCATTAGGTTTTAGTTAGTATTATCATTATCAAAAATTTAGAAAATTGAATACACCGGCTACAATAAATATGAAAACAAATATATATATATACACATATATTTGTTAGTAATGGAGAGTTTAAATCTTTCGTAATGAAAAACAAAACATTCTAGATATAATCATCTCTTAGGATATTGGAATATTTACGTGATCACTAGAAGTGGAAATACTGTTTATGAATAAAAGTTGTAATATTGAAGAAAACACGTAAAAACTATACCGTTGCGTGGATATTAATTTACATGATATGTTATACTGATGATTAATCGCAATTAATAAAAACAAAATTTGCATATTCTACTGAAGTGACATGTTGCTACAAATGTAAGCCGTGGTTCCACAATTAAGGTGTGTTTTTTACTCTAATTGTTGCCTGCTTTCTTTAAATTCAATGAACAGCTACTAACTTTACAGTCACCGTTACAAATTTACTTGTACTTGCAAGACTAAATTGGTTCTACAAAAAATAAACTATTAACATGTATAAAAGGGACTAAGTCAAGTATCTTAGAACGTGTCCTAGGATAATGTGAAGTTGTCGTTCATTATAATTTGTTTAAGATCCTTGTAAGGGCCGATGATGATCCAAGTCTTGATTCACAAGCTGAGACCTGAAATCAATGTACTTGTTTGGTTAAAGCTATAATGTGTAAGACGTTTGACAATTCAATGCCCTTCACAACGTATAACTTATTACTTGAGGTTAATGTTACATTATTAAACAAGGTGGAGTAAAAGTATACAGTATTTCGATTATTTGTTTGTTTGATTGTTTGTTCTTGAATTCCGCGCAAAGATACACGAGGGCTATCTGCGCTAGCCGTCCCTAATTTAGCAGTGTAAGACTAGAGGGAGGGCAGCTAGTCATCACCACCCACCGCCAACTATTGGGCTACTCTTTTACCAACGAATATTGGGATTGACCGTCACATTATAACGCCCCCACGGCTGAAATGGTGAGCATGTTTGGTGGGACGGGGATTCGAACCCGCGACCTGCAGATTGCGAGTCGAGCGCCCTAACCACCTGGCCATGCCGGGCCCAGTATTTCGAAGAAGGAAAACGTCAGTGTGCATGGGGGAAGTAGAAAAAAAACCAACAGAAGGTAGTAACGGGTGTTAAAACCATATTCCAAGCCAATCCAGAGCAAGACATTCATCCATAAAGTGACGGCGATGATTAAGAAAGAGAACCCTTCGAAAAAAAGAAAAAGAAAAGAGAATTGTTGTTACGAAGCTGGGTTATATCTCCTGGTACTATTAATAAGATAACAAGGTAAATATAAAATTGGAAATTTTAAAAACCAGCAAATAGGGATCATAAGAAAGGTTACAAAACAAGGCTACATATACTGTAGATATTATTTACTCAAACTACAAACCATATTTTGGCTCCATGTTGTAACCTAGAATTACATTTGGTAGAGTCAAAATAGGGACTTGTAGTTTGAGTAAATTATGTCTACAGTATCTTCAGTCTTGTTTTCTTACTTTTTTTTACGATCCCTATTTGCAGGTTTTTTAAATTCCCAGTTTTTAAATTATCTTCTTTACTGGATATTTTTATGTTCAACTATGAGCAAAGGATTACTTGATATGTTAGCTAACTTTATACATGACAAGGATAATAAACGTATCTAGTAACTAACTAATACTGTTAATGATGATTTACTGTATCTATTGGCTATTATTTTATTATTTGAGATATAAAATGTTAAGCTGGAGATTGTCATGGAGATTTGTTGGAAAATATAGTGATAATTTATAGTTTCTGTGTAACAAAATTCTCTCTATATATATAATACATAACAATGGGCAAATATAAGCCTAGAGCCCTAGACTAAGACACAAACCCCAGTAAGCGCGTGTAAAATTTTACCAGTAGAAAAACAGCCTTTTTAGATAAAACATATACGTCTAAATATCACGAAGATGTCTTTTAAACCAATTATTATACGTGTATTATGTGTATTGATTTTTGTTTACTCCTTCACTTCATACATAATATGGGGGTTCGCACCCTAAAGACACTGATAGTATAGTGTACAAAGCATTGAGAATCTACATGCTACAGTCATCTAATGTTTAGCTAATATTAGCAAGTAATTTCTGTTTCACCCTGCTCTTAAGGTTTTTAAAGGAACACCGAATGTTTGTAAAAAAGCTAACTTTAAGGGGTAATGATAACAATTATGGTTTTTTTTAGCTTATGTAAAACATAAAAGAAACAAATCAACTTTCCAATACCCCTACGACTTTCAAAGTACCTTCAAAGGTTTGGGTGCAATATACCAAGCCGTTTTTGTTGTAGGATGGCAAGAGCAGAAGAAAAAGAGGAATTACAAACAGGACGTTTTGAGCGGATTTTCTTCTTTTTGTAAGTCTAGCATGCATTGCTTCTTTGTGCATTTTTTATATGTGTACAAACATAGCAGTCAATAATAATGGTTTTAAAGAGTTATTTTAACTGAAACTGTTTAAGGCGCTTTTTGCCCGAACGTTCTATTAAGATTTTGTGCAATTTCTTGCGATCCCTATTATGAACCAATATCGCGGTTCATGATATAGAAGATCTGAAGTTGATGAAGAATCACCAGTTTTCAGCCATACCTCGAAACAAGCGGCTGTTTTTCACTGGAAAAATGGTGGAATAAATTGAATCATAGCAATCATTTTCGATAAATACCTGTCTAGTCCACCATGCAGCTCCAATGGATTTTATGCTTTGGACCTGTGCCGATATTGGAATGTTTGTCCAGTCATGCATGGTCCAAGATTGACTTCGCAGTTTTTCCCAGAAGTTTGTTTCAGTGTAAGTTGCGGTGTTGGACAATGGTGCATAATCATTGCTATCAGAGTAAGCACGATCGCTAATGAAAGAAGTCGATACAGGGAAAGCACAAGACTTGAAACATTTGTCTTGAAAAGTACAATCAACCCTCGGTATATGCGTGATTCTTGAATTTATTTTGAAAATATTTGATTACTAAGCGAGTATATACTCACATGCTGTCTCTGAGAACTATGTTTGGAAATGATATGACTTATGCTAATTTTAAAGAGTAAATATTTTTTTTCCTAAAAACATAATTCTATAAACTCGCAACTATATTGTTGTAAAAGATAACAGCCGAATCACGTAGTTTGATGTCACTGATTAAACCATTTTTGAAATGTCTTACGCGGACAAACTTACTAAGTAATGGAGTCTATTTTAATGTAAATGTATTTCAGTAAATTCTAAAATGTCAATGAACAATGTGGATGAAGTCGAAGTACACAGAAAAGTGAGAAATAAAAGTTTTATTTTGATAAAAACATAAGATGATAATTTATAATATTCCAAATTTTTTTTAACACATACACAGCAAGTGCTCAGGGCATAATGTTTTTTATGTTAAAAAGAGTTAAATTTCTTCTATAAGGAAGGAAATGTGCTCAATGTTTCGGCATAACAACTTCTACAGGTGCATAATGGAAAACGTTCGACTGATATTTTTTTTTCTCTCTCGAATAGGTATTTCAACTATTCTAATTGTTTATGGATAGTACAAAACTGTAAAAATTTATATATTTATTGCGTTTCTTTTCAGTCTATTAGCAGTGGCCATGGCCACACTTAATACTCTTCACTCCTTTCACTGAATGTTTTCTGAAAATTTTCTTATGTGTTTATCTTCTCTATGTCACCGTGTTTTTTTCTTCCCAGCTTACAGTTGCTTATGACTGCCTTATGAAAAACAAAAATGACAAACAAATCCATTCAATTAATTTAGAGACTAAAGAAAAGTCTATAAAATTACATGTAATTATAGTGAAATTTAACTCTAATAATTATCACTTTTCTGAATCATTCGGGATTCGTCATGAATCACTCTTTTGACTCGCAATCTGTGGGTCGCGAGTTCGAATTCCCGTCACACCAAACGTGTGGGCGTTATAATGTGACGGTCAATCCCACTATTCGTTGGTAAAAGATTAGCCCAA